ATGCATGCAGAAACCCTCGCCTTGTTGACAAAACCATTGTATTTTCCGAACATGAAGTTCTAAAGTAGTTGTCATGGTAACACGATAATTTTTTAAGAATATTCTTACAAATGAAAAATCGCCTAAAAATATCACTTTTAATTACAAAATTATTAATTTCCCAACATATATATGTTAGGTATGTTATTATACGTAATATAAGCTTCAATTTAAGGTAAAATTCAACCACAAACGCTTCGCAAAACGTTTTAAAGTGTTCTTTATAAAACTAAACTGCCTTTATTCTTTAATTAAATGGCTTTATCGATAAACTTTGAGTTTGCAATAAAATGATTTCAAATTCTCGCTTGCAAATGACTTTGCTTTCTTTTTTATTTAAAAAATTCAATATAATAAAAAAGGGAATCAATATTATTAAAGATACACTGAAATTATATGCTGTCTTGTAATAGTTGTTTCATATACGCAAAGGCCGTCGGGTTTTAAAGTCATTATAAAATCAATATTTAAAACAAACTTACCTTCGTTAACGTCGGCTCCCTTCTTTTAGCCGATTCTTTCGCCCTTTCTTTCTTAAAATTTACAAAATCTTGCAAAAATGCGAGCAAAAATGAAATATATTTGCAAGAAATTTATCAATCATCAAATCAAGAAATGTTTGCTATTTCACTGTCGTCATGCAGTCGTTATAATGCAAACTTTAAATTGGACCAATCAGTGTCCGCTATTCATGACAGTCCGCCATATTCTTGAGATCAGTGAGGATGACCACACACCCAACACTCGAACACCGTTGGTGACCCACGCCCGCGATAATTGATGAACTTTAGACTTCGCTAATGCTTTCGTTTCCCCGGGTGTAAATAGCCGGGGGGAATTAGTACCCTCGCACGGCGCTTCGCGCCGTCGGCTCGGGGACAATAACAAGCCAATAACTTGGAAACCAATTTGTTCTAAATGTTATTCATGTAGCATAACTTATTGTTCGTAGATGTGATAATGTTTTATCAGTTATATTTTGCTATATGTGATAATGTTTTATCAGTTATATTTTGCTATATTGTTTTAAATGTGTAATGATGTATATCTAAATAATTATAGCGTAGGACTTAGTCTGGAGCTGTATAACAGTCATGTTGTCTCCACCGTCAATCGTATAATTTAATCGTAAAGCTAATAAATAATTAATTATTTAAAAAAAATTCAAATGAAAATTTCTCATTTGCGTGTGTGCAACTGAGCTACTTCACATGTGATATTTTCATAATTGTACAAGCTGTCGATTAATATGCTTTTTAATTTTAATTTTCAGAAATACATTTTGAATTACGGCGCCAGATTGCTAAGAATAACCTTTCGTGTGGACAGTCAACAACTTCAAATTATGAAAAAGCGACAGTACCTTTTGAGAAGAAAACGTAAGCCATTTTATGCTTATTCTAATAATTTCAATTAGATTAAATAACAATTAATTACATGAAGGATCTATAACACAATAGACTCCATGCAATACTGATTTGGATTATAGATTGCCAATCGTTTTTACTTACGTTTAATAATTCAAAATAATTTATGTATAGGTTATTTCAAAGGACTAGCTGTTTTACTTAATTGCCTATAAAACTGGATCTGCCAAAATATTCCTTTATAGGCTCATGGGGGGTTATCTGCGACGGGTCAAATAATCAGTGGACGATCATTTGATAATAAGCTGCGAGAGGGGAAATTTTCCGTGTTACTCATGCCGTCTATACATGCAGTTATAGAAAATAAATGTTTTTCTCACCAAATATCGCGTAATATTAATGTTATCATCTATTTACAACATGAGCGGCCGTGTTATATCGGATATACAAACTCGAGTTGAATAGATTACGGAAGCCGTGAAGGGACTTCAGACTTCGGACTTCGGAGTTCAGACTTCAGACTTCGGACTTCAGACTTCAGACTTCAAACATTGGTTCGGAGCTTCGCTAATAGCCAACATTGCTCAATCTGCGAAGCTGGCTTATATTTAAGGCACTTATTCAGTCAAAGCTATATTCAAACTAAAGTCAAAAATGGTCAGAATGATTTAGATTGTAAATGCAGACTGTTGGAATGTGTCAGTGAGTTCTGACAGTTCTTTGCAGGTTTAAAGGCAGAACGATAAAACATATAATACTATTGTTTGTAGAAACACCACGTAAATTTATTACTGCAGTAAATTTATTAACTTTATTCTGTAAATTTATCAACTTAAGTATAACACGCGCTCAAAACTAATACGTACAATATACCACTTGAGGTTATGACTCAATTCAAAATTCAGTTATTTTTCGAAACGTTTCTCAATCGACAAACAAACTTAAAAAGTATGTTTAGTGCTTTATCTGTAAAATAATGCTAAATTGAAGAGATTTTAGATTATGCCAAAGAGAAAATTATGTCTGAAGTTCAGTAAGCTTGCTTATATTGCTCGGCTTAAATATGGCGTCAATTTTAAAGCATCATTGATAATTGTATTTTAATTGACAATTTTTAACGATGATTTTATGTTTCTCAACCGGCAGATGCATTTAAAAAGGTAGCTAACTGTATAAACTAAAGAATAAAGCAAAAACAAAGAGTAACAAAGTGATTCTAAGAGGAGGAACGCACTAAAAGCAATGTTGGCTATTAGCGAAGCTCGGAGCCAATGTTTGACAATCAGACTTTGGACTTCAGACTTCGGAGTTCAGACTTCAGACTTCGGAGTTCAGACTTCAGACTTCAGACTTCGGACTTCAGACTTCAGACATTGGTTCCGAGCTTCGCTAATAGCCAACATTGCTTTTGCGTTCCTCCTCTTAGAATCACTTTGTTTTTGCTTTATTCTTTACTTTATACAGTTAGCTACCTTTTTAAATGCATCTGCCGGTTGAGAAACATAAAATCATAGTTAAAAATTGTCAATTAAAATACAATTATCAATGATGCTTTAAAATTGACGCCATATTTAAGCCGAACAATATAAGCAAAACTTACAGAACTTCATACATAATTTTCTCTTTGGCGTAGTCTAAAATCTTCTCAATTTAGCATTATTTTACAGATAAAGCACTAAACATACTTTTTAAGTTTGTTGCCGATTGAGAAACGTTTCGAAAAATAAAAATTTTGAATTTAGTCATAACTTCAAGTGGTAGACTAGGTTACCCACAGGGCAGTAATGCTGCCTTCGACAGCAAAAGACAAACTACAGGGTGTTGAACGAGTCCTTTAGAAACATCCTATTATTGTTATCCTTGCAGGTTAACCCATTTATTGGCGGTACCCTACCACTGACTGAGTATTAAAAATCGTCTGGCGTTGGACAGGGTAATTACTAAAGTAGGGGTCATTACTGTGCTGATGGATTAACAAGAGACATTGGCAGATAGGTTTGTTAACCCATTTACTGGCAGTACCCTATACCACTGACGACTAAAATCTTCTGGCGCTGGACAAGGGAAGGGCGCATTGCCAGCTAATGGGTTAAACCACCGTGGTTAAACATAAGATTTGATGCTCCAGGAAATGTAAACAAGCTATCAGTGTAACATTCCAGTTTATATATTTATATACTCGGAATATTGATTTCTCGGTATATACAAAATTATTTTAAAGTATAACAACCAGCGAAGAAGTAAGCCACTAACTACCCTGCGCGGCTGCGCGCAGACTATATAATGACATATATATGTCATCCGTCCGGTCCGTCCGTCATTCATCCGTCCATCCGTATCCGCGTTTTATCCTACCCGTTTTTAAAACACAAAGTTTGCATAATTAAGGAGTGCGGTTCGTCATGATCAACATTTTCAAAAGCGGCCAATTAGACCAGGGGTTAAAGGTCAATGACAATGACATGCAAGTGACATTTAACATTGCGTCTCACTAATTAAAGTTTGCGTGTTTAATGTTTATCAAAGAAAGCAAAAATATATACAAGACAATCTCACATGTGGAATTTGTTCACTTACGTACTGCCTTGTGATGCAGTACAAGTATAAATACAAAAGACAAAGCATTTGTAAATCCTAAAACATAATTAAATCATACGGCACATTCAAGATTTTATTAAATATCGTATTTCAGCCGCGTTTATACTGCTTGGCGCATTCGCTGCGTTATATTCATTTATATACACAGAAAAGCATCAAGCATGTCATTGTCCTTGCAGACCATAGGCAAAAAGCATTTGTCAACCACATACCAAATTTAAGCAATCGTTAAATCATATACATGTCATGGAAAGAATATGGAAATAATGTTGAATGAAAGCTAGCATCGCGTATAATGTTAAAAGCACCGCATATAGTGCTCGAACCACTGCGTATATTAATTGCAAAAGCAACGCGTATATAAATGGTGAAAGCACCGCGTATAATGCTGGAACCACCGCGTATAATGCGGGAACCACCGCGTATAGTGGCGAAAGCACCGTGTATAATGCCGAAAGCACCATGCACCGTATAATGCTAAAAGCACCCAACAAAATACCGTTTGATCACTTTAAGCCAGCTATGGCTTTCCATAAAAGAAGATCAAAGATGAAAGATGATCACATTATCTGTTTGCCTTATGCCTGACCGCGCTGCACCACGGTTAAAATTCACTGGTACCGTCATGCAATGCGCCAAATGGAAAATTTTGATTTCGACCCACAAAACAAAATTAGGATCTGCCTTGCTCGCTCGCTTCAGGCTCGCTCGCTGCGGCAGCAATTATACGCATTAGTTTTGAGCGCGTGTTATACTTAACTTGATAAATTTACAGAATAAAGTTAATAAATTTATACTGCAGTAATAAATTTATGTGGTGTTTCTAAAAACAATAGTATTATATGTTTTATCGTTCCGCTGCCTTTAAACCTGCAAAGAACTTTCAGAACTCACTGACACATTCCAACAGTCTGCTTTGCAATCTAAATCATTCTGACCATTTCTGACTTTAGTTTGAATAGCTCTGACTGAATATGTGCCTTAAATATTAGCCAGCTTTGCAGAAGCAATGTTGGCTATTAGCGAAGCTCGGAACCAATGTTTGAAGTCTTAAGTCTGAAGTCTGAAGTCTGAAGTCTGAAGTCTGAAGTCTGAAGTCTGAAGTCTGAAGTCTGAAGTCCGAAGTCTGAAGTCTGAAGTCCCTTCACGGCTTCCGTAATAGATGGATTGTCAAACGTCTTGATGAGAACATTCGTATTCTTCACCAATTTAGCAAAATAAATTAATGATATTTGGTGAGAAAATTGAACTTAAAGTTTACTGGGTAAATCAGCATCATTTTGTATCAGATATACTAGGCAAAGTCCTTCACAATCTGCATAAATTCTTTCGCGTTTTTCCCCATGAATTATTAAAATGAGTTGCACAATATAAAAACTAATGAATGACATTAGAAGACGGAAAATCTAAGTTTGTAACTTATTTCAAACATTTTGGTCATTTTCACAGAGGAGATTCCCACACTTGTGGACGACCGAAGAGAGCAAAATATTTCAGTTGAAACATTAGCTGATGACAGAGTAATCGCGGATGTGATCGAAACACAGATAAAGATGGCGGAGAGAGACGCTGAGTGGAAAAAAGCTGCTGAGGTTTTGAATATCTATTCACTGATCATTCATATTCTGGTTGTACTATTCACGTTCTGTTTGGTTTTCATTGACGCACGTCATGACGCATGAACTATAATCTACATTGCATGAAAAATGAGTCACAAGCGATGCAAGAGAATCTGTGTTTACATCTTGTCAGACACGTGATTCTGTTGAGCGAGATGTAATTTGCAGTATACTGTATATATATTTTGGTTATTCATATATTTCGTCTGACAAGACTAATTCTCAACACGTTTTCAGTTGCAAGAAGTTAGTTGAAACGCAAGAAAATCGGAGATAAGTTAAAGTGATCCTATATATGAACCTCGATATAGTGATTAATTTTGCCTTATACTTATAGCATGCATCAGTAGCTATACAAATAATGAATGTTTTCATTCGTGCAATGGTAAAAATATTTTCATAAGGTGAATGAAGTGGAATTTTCCATTTCACGAGGCGAGATGCAGTCAAATTTCTAAGTTCATTAAATACAAAACGAATACATCATACCTTGTCCTTGTTCTTGTTCAAAAATAATTAAAATCCAACAAAAAAATTCCAACAAATATTTTAGTGAAGAATAGGTTTTTGAATAATAATATTGAATTTTTACTACTTAAACCTTACCGTGCAATTACTATCGTAGGCCTACTATTGCACGGTAGCAAAATGGGAATTTTAATTCCATATCACGTCATCATGTTCAGCCAATTAAACTGACCAGAATTTAATGAGGTGTTATATAATATACTATAATGTATTATATATAGTTCATTAAAAGAGATTCAAACACTCATTAATAATTCATAAGCTTATTGGAAAATCATGTCAACCATAATATGTCACGTGCAGTGGCTTTAAACCTGATAAAACACTCCTAATTAGTATTCTTTATATAAAGAATACTAATGAGACAGTATATCTATTGAATTTGCATGTAGTCGTGTTTGAAGCCGTTTAATAAACTCGCAGGTCGTGTTTTATTAGGTCTAAAGCCACTCGCGCTGCGCGATCGTGATTTTAAACCTAATTAAACACTCCTGCTCGTTTATTAAACAGTACGTAATTGCACAACCAGTCAGTAAATGCGAATAGACGGCTAGGCTATATATGTATGGTGGAATTGAATGAATGTATTTAATGGATAAAAACCCGCGTACTATCAAATAATTATCAGAAGAAAGACGTTGCTTTAGGTGCTTATAGTTTAATTTGCGGCTTTGTCCTTTGAAAACGTTTATTTTTTAAGGACTGTATACGTACGTCACGTATCTCCAAACGTCTGCGCCAATGGCGGACACGTCAGTTGCGAAATATTGGGGATGAAGGGCGGGGGGGGGGGTTGGCGGAGAGTCAATATCGGTTTCCATCATCATCGCAGCTAGCACACAACGTAATCCCAATGTTGTAGGAATGTTGTAATTTGGTTTGGTCCGACCTGACTACTTTACAACTTGAACAATTTTTCCCAAATGACCAGTTTTGATGAATGTTACGTGTGTGCAACGGTATCAGTATATCTTATTCACACGCAGGATAAGGTAATTAGATGCAGCATGCGTTAGCTGTTAAGTGCTCTTTCTCTTTTTTCCATGTTGAAGTCTTTATCTTGTTATTGACAGGCGAACAAACAAGTATGTGAAACGCTCGGCTTGTCCGTCTATAATATATATATATATATATATATAGATATATAGATAGATAGATAGATAGATAGATAGATAGATAGATAGATAGATAGATAGATAGATAGATAGATAGATAGATAGATAGATAGATAGATAGATAGATAGAAAGATAGATAGATATAGATATAGCTTAAGATTTTGGTTTACGAAACACAAACAGTGCTCAATACCATATAGATAGAGCGTAATATAGTTTTTCGTTTTACCTCAAAAAAACCACAACAGTCTGTTTCATCCGTATAGGAATCATCAGGTGGTGATCACCACCTGATGATTCCTATACGGATGAAACAGACTGTTGTGGTTTTTTTGAGGTAAAACGAAAAACTAGATATAGATATAGATATAGATATATAGATATATAGATATATAGATATATATGTATGTATGTTTCACTAAACATTGTATTACTAATATTGTACAGTACTGTACATATATAGATATTGTTGCACTAAGTAATATAATGGTAAAATACTAAAGCGGATTGACGTTCAACCGTCCCCCCTCCGCTCCCTTTTCTTATTCGATATTGAAGGAATTGAGAGGGTGTTTTTTTAATTTACTAGATCAACAATTAGGGAAATGCATTGCATGGAAAAATGAGTCACAAGCGATGCAAGAGAATCTGTGTTTACATCTTGTCAGACACGTGATTCTGTTGAGCGAGATGTAATTTGCAGTATACTGTATATATATTTTGGTTATTCATATATTTCGTCTGACAAGACTAATTCTCAACACGTTTTCAGTTGCAAGAAGTTAGTTGAAACGCAAGAAAATCGGAGATAAGTTAAAGTGATCCTATATATGAACCTCGATATAGTGATTAATTTTGCCTTATACTTATAGCATGCATCAGTAGCTATACAAATAATGAATGTTTTCATTCGTGCAATGGTAAAAATATTTTCATAAGGTGAATGAAGTGGAATTTTCCATTTCACGAGGCGAGATGCAGTCAAATTTCTAAGTTCATTAAATACAAAACGAATACATCATACCTTGTCCTTGTTCTTGTTCAAAAATAATTAAAATCCAACAAAAAAATTCCAACAAATATTTTAGTGAAGAATAGGTTTTTGAATAATAATATTGAATTTTTACTACTTAAACCTTACCGTGCAATTACTATCGTAGGCCTACTATTGCACGGTAGCAAAATGGGAATTTTAATTCCATATCACGTCATCATGTTCAGCCAATTAAACTGACCAGAATTTAATGAGGTGTTATATAATATACTATAATGTATTATATATAGTTCATTAAAAGAGATTCAAACACTCATTAATAATTCATAAGCTTATTGGAAAATCATGTCAACCATAATATGTCACGTGCAGTGGCTTTAAACCTGATAAAACACTCCTAATTAGTATTCTTTATATAAAGAATACTAATGAGACAGTATATCTATTGAATTTGCATGTAGTCGTGTTTGAAGCCGTTTAATAAACTCGCAGGTCGTGTTTTATTAGGTCTAAAGCCACTCGCGCTGCGCGATCGTGATTTTAAACCTAATTAAACACTCCTGCTCGTTTATTAAACAGTACGTAATTGCACAACCAGTCAGTAAATGCGAATAGACGGCTAGGCTATATATGTATGGTGGAATTGAATGAATGTATTTAATGGATAAAAACCCGCGTACTATCAAATAATTATCAGAAGAAAGACGTTGCTTTAGGTGCTTATAGTTTAATTTGCGGCTTTGTCCTTTGAAAACGTTTATTTTTTAAGGACTGTATACGTACGTCACGTATCTCCAAACGTCTGCGCCAATGGCGGACACGTCAGTTGCGAAATATTGGGGATGAAGGGCGGGGGGGGGGGTTGGCGGAGAGTCAATATCGGTTTCCATCATCATCGCAGCTAGCACACAACGTAATCCCAATGTTGTAGGAATGTTGTAATTTGGTTTGGTCCGACCTGACTACTTTACAACTTGAACAATTTTTCCCAAATGACCAGTTTTGATGAATGTTACGTGTGTGCAACGGTATCAGTATATCTTATTCACACGCAGGATAAGGTAATTAGATGCAGCATGCGTTAGCTGTTAAGTGCTCTTTCTCTTTTTTCCATGTTGAAGTCTTTATCTTGTTATTGACAGGCGAACAAACAAGTATGTGAAACGCTCGGCTTGTCCGTCTATAAATACACCACTAATTCCATGATAGTTGGGACGTCGTGCGTGCATGTATTTGCTCTGGAATTGAAATACAGTTATCCGGCAAGTAGTAATTAGGCCCAATAGCACTGAGCTTCCCAGTAGAAATGCCTATGATTCAGGAAAGGTATAAGGTTTAATCGTTATGACAAGTATACCTGCATGTTTATATACGATCAGTACACATTAGTTCCCGCGGAACGGGAATATCTTGTCACTATATAAGTGATGAAGAATACAAACAAGAGCATCTTGTTCCAAATCATGATGCCAACGAAGGTGTTTCTTCTATATAAGTAGTATTTAAAACACGAGAAGGAGTGTTTTATCATATTTAAAACGCGAGGCACAGCCGAGCGTTTTAGATATGATAAAACGCGCGAGTTCGAGTGTTTTGAATAGCTTAAAATACGACTACAAAAGAATGCTAATTATAGGATGAACAATTATATAATCATACTAATTAGGATGAACAATTATATAAAGAATACTGATGAAGATGACTTTTATCAGGTATAAAGTCACTCCACGTGACCTATTATGGCTGACATGATTTGCCACAAGGTTTATGAATTTTTAATGAGTATTTAATTATAAATAACATTCAGAATTGCAGTAAAATAATCTGTTTATTATATTTGCTGACTATATACGAACATAACCAAGTAGTCACAATTATCTAAAAACTGTAAACAAAATTATGCAAATATAGAAATAAACAAAGTATCTGATTGGTTATAATTGTAAATAAATTATATGACTATATATAAAGTCTTGAAAAAACTAAGTGCATGTATTGCATAAAACTCGTGCAGGGAAAAGCATTAATCATAACTTATATATAGCATGCAATATCTATAAATTAATTAAACAAAAAAATGGATTCATTAATCAATTATTGACGAAAATTTAACGTGGAAAAGTCACATATATAGACAACGTTTCGGAAAAAAATTTACTAAATCTATTTACCAAATTTATCAAAAGATATAATATTTTGTTTGTGGAAACACCACGTAAATTTATTACTGCAAAGTTTTCGATCCGTATAAGCCCGGATCTTCATCAGTGATGAAGATCCGGGCTTACGGATCAAAAGCTTTGCAGTAATAAATTCACGCGGTGCCAGTTCCACAAACAAAATATTATAACTACTGAGACTACTGTCTAATTATCTTCCAAAAGTCAATGATTAAATAACTCCATATGGGCCTTACTTTAATTGTTTATATTATTTTTATGTAAATTATTACTGTTTGACTTTGCAAATCTATGACGGGCGAAATCAATAAAAAAATAGTGATTTGGTAGATAGTATTAGTGATAAGGCATTATTTCATGCCTAAACTTTTATTTAATAGGGCTAAACTCTGTAACGTGTTTGACTTTGCGAAGATGTTTGCTTTCTTGGCAAGCCAGTCAAGTCAGTGTCTGAACAAGTCAGCTTAAACAAAATTAGTTTCGGCAGTCATCATAAAACGTGAGTACATGCATGCATGCAAGGGGAATTTTTTTGCTGGAAATAGTAGTAACGTACAGACTGATCATAGGGAGCTTTAGATTTGACTACGAGTACGACTACGAGTACGAGATTCGTTAAGCGAAACGCATGCTGTATGCTTACGCCATCCCGTACGTACTGAGGCGAAAAAGTCGTAGCCATCGCCCATCTGAGTACGAAATTGTGGAGAAATCTCGTAGTCCTCACGACGACTTTTTCAAAAAAAAAGAAAGTTGGCTTTTTTTTGTTTTCCATTTGTAGCATTTATATAGCGTTTATCCGGCGCAAGTAATATATTAGTACTAAATATCTGGCCTGCGGTTTTTAATGTTATGACTTATTTACACATTTTCTGGGGGATTTTATAGTCTGCAGGAGATTTAGTTTATGAAACTTTTTCTCCCATTGTTGGTTTACTGCTATAAAAGCAACATTTAAATGGAAACGAAAACGACTACGGTAATTTCCTAGCACGCGATCAAATCTCGTACTCGTAGTCGTACTCGTAGTCAAATCTAAAGCTCCCTCATATCGACCGCGAACTGCCGCTATCCGACACCCAGAACAACGTACTGTAATTCGATTTTCGACACTCTCTGATCAGTACCATGCATGCTTGGCCTGATTAAATTCCGAACACGCTCTTCTTAAGTGGTATACTTTTCAGTATACATGCAAAGCGAGGTAATATATGACACAGATTTCGTATTTTAACTCGGACGTCCATTTATAAAACGAGTTCATTGGGAAAAATTGCAAATCTGATTATTAACAACTACACTCAGCCAAGATACGTGTAATCCAAGTGTAGCTACCTTTCTTTTTAAACTCGTTCGCATATGAAATTATATGAAATAATATTATGATTCATGAATTCGGCCGGAACAGACATAATAATCAAAGTCTGTATATATAAGAGGAAGTTATATAATTATAGCATGGCACTGCATGTCCAAATATGTCAGGATAAAATATACAGCCGTGTGAAAAACAAGATAATTATTTAAGACTCAATTTAAATACAGCTGCTCAGCTCCCATGCATGACGGGCAACCAATCAAAATGACTCATAACAATCTCTCCTTGAATCTGCTCGTACCGCCCTGCGCAGCATGCTCAATTAATGTATATTTCCATCTGACTGATTAACGAACGCTTGATAAGCTAACACGATGTTATTCGCAGTTTACAGATCACATTAAATATAGCTTGAATGTGGATCAACAAGGAGCCAGAAAATTGTGTCTTCATTCACGAAAATGCATAATGAACTCGTATATTGTCTTTATATCTTGCTTAGTTTGGTTCACTTTGTGTCGCCAGTGCGTTCAACCGTATTGGTAAGTAATACTACAGTACACAAACTTCATATTATAAATCTGATATTTCGAAACGTCTGTTCCAACTAAGATTTTCTATTGCTTATTGTCCTATTTAGCTAGTGTTTAGTGTATAGGTTTCAAATTTGATAGTGCAGGCCGAATGTAGCCTATACATGCAAGCGTTGAAACTACGCCATGCTGCGTGCATATAAACGAGCTTAATCGATGATAAGTACTGAAAAATTATCACAAAATATTTTCAGCGCGGAGTATGCATTTTTTCTTCATATTTTTCATTACGTACTGAAGTTAAATGCCTAGTTTCACAACATAAACTCTGATATTGGCATGGCTGCAGAATTAATCTCCGCAGTCTATGTCGCAGCAAGTCATTTAATCGATAATACTTTTCATATACAAATGTTAGAACTAAATTATTTGATATAAGTAGGCAACTTTTTAATCGGTAATGATGTATACCTTAATATTTTTTCAAGGTGTTTCCTTTATGTAAACCATCCCCAAGCACCAATAGCATGTGTCGATATATTCAAGGCTGAAGAATTTATTTCTTTTATAACATTATATTTTACATTCATTTACTCAGCCGGTTTAATTAATAAAGGATCACAAAATATATTTTTGAGCGACAAATCGTGGAGACAATTAAATGATTTTATAGATCTATCTCAGTATCTGAAAATGTGTATGTTGAAAACTAGCAAAATCACCTTTTCAGCAAACATGCATTGTGTCCTCCTAATCTTCGCCAAAGATGGCACTGGAAAAAATAGTGAAATTCATATGCATGAAATTTGCGCCGATTCAATCGTTAAATCCACAGAAAATCCATATTATTTCCATGCATACTAAGTACCATATAGTATATGAAATTCCAATTAGCATATATGAAACTGATTGGATTTCCCTATACTATTTTCAACTAAGATCCATACCACTTCCATAGTAAGGATTTTGAAAAAATTTCCAGTGAATTCTTCGCCATGGCGAAATTTTTTCAAAATCCTTACTATGGAACTGGTATGGATCTTAGTTGAAAATAGTATAGGGAAATCTAATCAGTTTCATATATGCTAATTGGAATTTCATATACTATATGGATACTTAGTATGCCCATGCATACTAAGTACTTAGTATGCCCATGCATACAATAGTATGGATTTTCTGTGGATTTAGCAATTTGAATCGGCGCAAATTTCATGCATATGAATTTCCGATCGGCTTTTCATCCCTAAAAATTATATCATTGCAATGATATAATTTTTAGGGATGATAAGCCGATCGGCCGACCGTACAGCCTGCAGTACACGACTTGTCCAATGGATAAGGGAAACCAATATTATAACCAGATACACTACATACAGCTATTTCAATTAAGGTTGTCCACGAGCAAAGTGGAAATGTCGAATACGAGCGCGGAAGACGTCTGCTGGGAATCGCTAACAAATTAATGAATTTTCATAGCGATTCCCAGCAGCCTTTCGCGCTCGTATTCGACTTTTCCGCTTTGCTCGGTGGACAACCAATTGAAATAGCTGTATACATCTGCATGGGCGATGCAGCCTTATTCGCAGATATACATATATCTATACATTGTATAGCCTGAAGTGAATAAAGATATACACAAACCCCGTCGTAAATTAAAGACTGTATAATTAATTTAGTTCCCAACAAATTTCAAATGTTACTATTGAGTGACAAGATGATGAAATTAAGTAATAGTTTGACAACAACGAAATGAAAATACACTGTGCAATATATAGTTATCGACCAAATCAACAACAGCTGGAATCCTTTTGAAAACACGCCCACACGCTCAGTGTTTTTGAAATACAGGTGATAAAAATCTTTGACGTTTCGTGGAAAAGCCCGCCATTTTAGCCTCTGGCTCAATGCTAACGCCCAGACAACGGGCTTTTCATCCAACGCTTTCTTAAAGCTAATGTATGAGTTCGCGTTAACCTTATTTTTCAGTTTTTCTTATTTTGCATGATAGGCAAAAGTCTGCAAATTGAAAGTCTATTTGCATGATAGGCAAAAGTCTGCAAATTGCATGTAACTATATCCCGCAAATCCCGAAATATATCCCGCACCCAAAAAATGTGCCCCCCTCCATGTGCCAAATTCCACCCTTTCGGAAATTTCCTCCCCCCCCCCCAAAAAAAAACAAAAAAACAACAAACACACACACATACTTATACGATAGACATTTGTTTTCAGACATTATGAACATGCAGATGCAAAATATATAACTAGAAAATACATGCATGCAGAAACCCTCGCCTTCTGACAAAAGCATTGTATTTTCCGAACATGAAGTATTTAAAGTAGTTGTCATGGTAACACGATAATTTTTTAAGAATATTTTTACAAATGAAGAATCCCCTAAAAAATTAAAAATATCACTCTAATTACAAAATTACCAATTTCCCAAACACATTTTTGTTAGGTATGTTATTATACGTAATATAAGCTTCAATTTAAGGTAAAATTCAACCACAAACGCTTCGCAAAACCAGTGGCGTAACGCTCATTGGGTAGGGTTAGTTCCAAAATTAAGGGGCCCCGACAGTTAGGGGTCCCGACAGTTAGGGGCCCCATCACCCACGGCCTATCGCCCAGAAAATTAGAAAATGTAAAAAATGCAGGTTAAGTATCAATGGGAAAATGCAAAATCAATAATGCTAGAGAATTAAACGTCCATCGACAACGGTAGCTGATTGTTTTAATTCCATCTCAAATAAAACAAAAGTTATTCTTATTAGTTGTTACATGTGTTGGAGACCGTTAATAGATAGCTTAAGATCTACGACGTCGACGTCAGCTAGGACGTCAGGGCTATGCAGAGGACTGGGAATAGGATGTCGTCCTGATGTAGTCCCAGTCCTCTGCTTAGCCCTGACGCCCTAGCTGACGTCGACGTCGTAGATCTTAAGCTATCTATTGTTACCGACACGGAATTTTCCATTCTATAAATATTCAATATAAATATAACATCTCAGTCAAACAATGACAACAGTCAACAGGGGCCCCCACACTAAATATGCCTAAGGGCCCCCTGTTCCTCCGTTACGCCACTGCGCAAAACGTTCTTCGCAAAGTGTTCTTTATAAAACTAAGCTGCCTTTTGGCTTTATCGACAAACTTTGAGTTTGAAATAAAATGATTTCAAATTCTCGCATGCAAATAACTTTGCTTTCTTTTCTATTTAAAAAATTTAATATAATGAAAAAGGGTGGTCAATAAAGTATGCACTGAAATTATATGCTGTCTGGTTTCGTTTATACGCAACGTTTATACGATCGGCTTTTAAAGCAATTATAAAGCAAACAATACACAGTGTGACCAGATATTTTGCAAGGCAATTACTAAATAAGCATGCAAGAAATTACCAAAACGTAGAAAAAATTACTAAATTTCTGCTGTCAACCAAAGTGGTCTGAAAATCAATAAAACATCTCAGCAAAACAAAATCAGTAAAACGCGTTCCATCACTGAAACTATGTTTTTTCCATGTTTTTCTTTCTCACTTGTACTTTTTGGTTGCAATTGTGCAAAATGCAAATATGACGCCGGAATGGTTGGGCCCGGGCCCCAGATCCCTAGCCTGCAATCAGCACAGGGTGAGTGGTGATCAGCAGGATTCTCTCGATTCAGCTGGACAGCTTGGGCCAAAAGCCTGCAATTTGGATGTACAGCTTTGCAAGCATGGACATGCAACTGTTCTCATTGAATTTTTGAATAACAGGTTGTGTCATTATGGTCTATTTGGTTGAATTTCATGAGATAACCAAAATATTACTAACTTTAAGAGAAATTACTAAAAATATTACCAAAAATTTTCAATTACCAAAAAAGTCAGAAAAATCGCGAAATATTACCAAAAGTAATTTAAATTACCAAATCTGGTCACACTGGTATCAGCTTCGATATTCGCAGTATCGCCCACCACTATCAGTTATAAATATATCGATTATAAAACAAACATTACATCAATATTTTAAACAAACTTACCTTCATTAACGTCGGCGACTTTGCTTTATTCTTTTAGACGTTTTTAGATGTTTTTTGGCTCTCAGAAAGGTTTTGAAATTTACAAAATCTTGTAAAAATACAACTTGCAAGAAATGTTTGTTATTTTGCTGTCGTCAATGCAGGCGTTACAATGCAAATTTCAAATTTGACCAGTCAGTGTTCACTATTCACGACAGTCCGCTACATATTTTGAGATCAGTGTGGATGACCCCCCCCCCTGAACCATGAACGGTGAGCCATGCGCCCACGATATTTGATGAACTTTAGACTTCGCTAGTGCGTTCCTTTCCCCGGGTGTAAATAGCCGGGGGGAATTAGTACCCTCGCACGGCGCTTCGCGCCGTCGGTTCGGGGATGACACTATCAAATAAATATAAGTAGCAAATGATTACACCCGTTTTCAAAATTACGCGACCAGGACTACCTCCTCCGCAGGCGCTATAGGGAGAATATGGCCCGCAAATTTGCACCGCCCGCAAATTTGCCCGGAAAAGGGCATGCGGAGGAGGTAGCGACCATGACGAAAATGCTAGAGTTGACATGTCAGTTTTATGTCATGTCATTCGGTCACGAAATTCAAACTTTGAGTTTTGCTGTTCCTTACAGATACAGATACAGATATTTCACAGCACACTCCCTTTCAGGGCTTTTCAGTGACTGGTTACATTATGAATAGATAGACAGAACCGGACTGACGTGAAGCAGACCGTCGATGTATGTGCTTTGTATGCCTTATATGAACAGGCTTGCCTTATATGAACAGGCTTACAATGATTTTCAAGAAATTTTAGTGAGAATTATTGTAAAATTCAAGTACAACAAAATCATAACATCACCGTTATAGTCTAGTACGCGTGTTTTATACTGGCAGCTAAATTCCAGGGTAAATTGTTATTTTTCAAACTTTAAAAGTCATTCACGGCACATATTTCTGTTTTTGGTTTGTATTGTGCCAAGGCGCGGAGTCTATAAGAATGGGCGGTGAAACGCCAGTGAAAGCTTTGAAACATGTGTGACCCCCCCCCCCCCCCCACGTTGTTCGAAAGCGGTTTCATTGCATTTTCGTGTTTCAAGATGGCGGGCTGCTTGAGCGAGGAAGAATTGGAAATTGCCATCAGTTTAAATGGCAGTATTGTAGCGGCTTTCTCGTCATGTCTGCGTACTATATTAAAGCACAATTTCAAGTTTGCCACAAAGAATGAATTTTGCATTTCGGCATTAGCTGTTGTAAAATATGTTTTTACTCCAAAACATATATACTTTTTGTTATATTAATATTTAGTATAATTACATAGGTGATTATTGAAAATTCTCCACGCTGATTGGTTGCCGTTGAGGTGATTATTACGCGATAATCACCTGAGCGATTTTCAAAATGGCGGTCGAAGCCGGTTTGTCAATTAAATGACGAAGAAATGTGCATTTTAAAATTTGTTTCCAAATAATCAGCTATGAAATTATACTAAAACAATTATTCACCTCAGGCTCGGTGATTATCGTGAATAAAAACCTCGACTTCGTCTCGGTTTTTATTCACCGATAATCACCTCGCCTTCGGCGAATAATTGTTAATTAATAGTATATTTGAACAATACTAAGTAATTAAATGATACGGGTTTGTTTACTTTATGGTTTGTTTGGTTTCGTATTCGTATTTTTCTTTGTACATGCATTTACGTATTCAGATCACTGTTTTGCGTATTGTTTTGCATATTCATAAGTTTATTTTTCCCGCCTTTTGTTTTTTGTTTACTCCTCCCATTCCCCTGAGCACTTTAAATTCTGTAAAGACCATTTTAGGCTGCGTCCAGACTGGGTACCCGGCACTGGTGCCCGGCACTGGTGCCCGGCACTGGTGCCCGGCACTGGTGCCCGGCACTGGTGCCCGGCACTGGTGCCCGGCACTGATGCCCGGCACTGGTGCCCGGCACTTGTTTTGGCGCCTAGTTTGAACATGACGCTTCCAAATGAAATTGGGCTCCGTGCCCAAGAAAGGGCACTACCTCTAGAGGTAGTACTCAACAACGGCAATCAACCTCGTACCCAGGGCATTTTGCTTCCGATCAGGGAAAATGGCACTGGTATCGCGGGCCGGTCACATGACCTCAAAATCTCCAGTATTTGGGGTGTTCAATTATGATAATTTATGCGTATAAGTACGTATATAGAATAATTATATACATTTTAATTACTGACAGGAGTAAACTAACTCAATGCTGCTTATATAGTCAAAGAGAAAGCAACAAAATAAATTGATTTTATTCGATGTTCGTTGTTTACAGCTCATTCAGCAACATAGCCCGTAATATTGATGACTTTTAAACATATTCAGAGCCTGGTTAGCCTGTGATTCAACCGCTTCAGCGTTTTGTTTATATAAATCGTGTTATGATCAAATATATTCGTATCACAATCTTTATTTGACTATAACGCTGTACGTTTTTTGAAATCAACGATGTATAAACAACGCATGTAAGAAATGCATGTTGAACCGAAGCAAATACTCGTCTATACAAAATGTACAAAGACTTAAATTGGACCAAATTGTTTTGTGATGTATTATCTTTCCCTAATTCATGCTGTATCTCAAGCGAAATGTCAAAAATCTTATTTACTCAATATTTTAGTCCTTCAAGAACTAATTATAAATTTGTTACTCCACTCTCGTTCCACCAAAATAATAGTTATTCCCACAAATATTGAATAATTACATTCAAAATCTTTGACCAATCAGGTTGCAAAATAGACCAGCAGAAGCCAGGGCCTTTTTCGCTGACCATCCAACCGCGGAAGCAAAAAGACCTGGGTACGAGGTTGAACGGCACTGTGCTCAACAGGTAGGCAATTTGTCGACGCTGACCAAAAATAGCGGCTCATTTCTTCTTTGAGTTTCCATTTTCAGTCGAAGAGCAAAAATATAGACTTTCGGAGAATATTTTAGCTGTTTACTATTAAATATGTTTGTGAAACAGTTAATAATCTCACTGAGGAAGGCCAACGGTTTCTGAAAAGCTAAAGTACGTCGAAATCAGCTTTGGAATAGACTATATTTCCACCGGGGAAACATGAACAAAATGGATATTTACATCGACACTAAATTTTGCTGGTGCCTACAGACGGCTAGTTGGATTAAAACAGATGTAAGAAGTAAGTGAAAATGTGAACTTTGTGAATTATACTTTCATTAAAATGTTTCAGAAGGTTTGCTAATGTCAAACTACACGTGTGACAGAGCTGTCGGTATACCCATATATCAATGTTTATGTTGAAATGACCTATCTTCTTTGAGGTATAGCTTAAAATTTAGGGTATGCTCATCACTTGAAACTAGCTTTAAATCAAAGTTTTATCTATAGTCTTTATATTAGAATTAAAATCATTCATGGGAAAAATGTGCCAAAGGGTTGAAATTGCCCTTGTAAATGTACACTATTTTTGACATGCTTGGGTTAGTATTTTGAAAAGGTGTT